ACACAAATTAGCTCTATTATCTTTATGCGATTACCATACGGCCCTGTGTTCATTTAAACTCATCTGATTGATTTAAAATATTTACCATAATGCTGTATTTTCTCTAAATTGGCAACCAAACAGAAGCAAAGCATTAAATTACTGCAATGGATTGGATAACATGCATGTATTCCCTTTTATGATAATAAAATAAAAAAACGAGTGATTACCAGCCAGTAGGCAATTTATCATAAGCACCAAACACTAATTTGATAGTATTTGTTTTGTTCGTGCTGGGAGACCTGGATAGATAACTGTTTGTGCAGCGCTAAACAAAGCTTTAATGCTTCATCTGTTGTAAAAAGCTGTGTGGGGCTCGTGAGGATGGGAATACTGAGTGCAGGCCAATTATTTGTGGGAAGCTGCCTAACGGTGCCAAAGACCTTACACTGGCTCCGTGATTTATGTCGCAACAGGACCGTGACCGTGACCCCGACCAACTTAAGCTACATCCGAATCGCACTGGAACGGCATCACAACAAGAGTGGCACGGCCGGAGACAGAGCCGGACTCTGGAAATATGAAGAACGACCTGATGATAGCTGCCGGTCGAGCGAGACGCGAGACATCTGTCACGCCACATCTGCGCCGTGCACGTGAAACAACAAAGGCTAAAATCAGGATTTGCTAATACAGATGTTTCCATAGAGTTTAAAAAGTTGGAACCTCTGCCAGAGCGGCTTCTAAACGGTAGAGAGACAATGGTGTTGGTTTGCTCGGAGCAATTAATGGACTTTTTCTTCTTCTTTTGGTTCTGGCTGAAGCAAAAGTGGTCACAAAAATTATCCAAACAAACCTACAACAGCCTGAGTGTTGAACAGGGCCGGCCACTGCACACAGAGTTCCCTGTGAATGTTCAGGTTTCCTACATTTCTGTGCAGTTTTTTTTCCCTCCTCTTGTAGAAATGTATGAAATGAAAGCAAACATAACCGTGTAAGAAACAGAGCTTATATTTAGCTGTGCTCACTTTAGTTTGCTGCATTGTTTCATACCTTCAAACCCTTTTTACAGTAGTTAGTGTAGAGCTTTGTTAAGTCAGACCACATGCTTATCTGCATTTTTTAAAATATATTTTATTTAAAATCTACCTTGCAAGTCCGCTGACAGGTAACTGCTGCTGTAATTGAACTATAGCTTTGATTTGCAGACACTGGACGTTTGCATGTCCCCCCACTGTTTCTTTACGCCATTAAAGCGGCGTGTGAGGAAGCCTCTGAGACTTTAAAGTGTGCAGTGGACAATAACAGGCTGGCCTTTTCTCTTTTAATCTCTGCTTTTCCTTTTCAAATGGAAGAGATACACACACGCTGTGTTTGTGTATCCTTGTGGACACAAGGTTAAAGGTACAGGAACAGATAATGTGTGTGTACATACAGTGAGGTTGGAGTTTGAAGCCACACCATGTGTAGGGAGAGAACAACAGGTCAAAGGGAGATAAATAGACGCAGACCTGCTTGATGAACAGTTTTGGAACAGGTTTGAAAAACAAGCGTGAAAAAAGAAGAAGCCGCCCCATTGTCGACGGCGGCCGCTATAGAAACGATTATCTGTGCGATCCGGGATCTCGCACTGTACTCAGGGTTAGCACATCAATGCCAAAGTCAGGCACAATGTCATGATATTGTGATGCTTTTGATGGATAAAACATTTTTAAATTAAATGTTCTGGATTAAAAGTGTCCCTGTGTTTCATCTGGGGAGCTCTGCTTTCTCCAGCCTGTTTGTGAAGATAAAGTTCACCCTGACCTTTCAGCCAGCATTTATTCTCTTGATGTGTGTATCAGTGCGTGGGTCCCTGTGAGCCGGCGCACTGTACGCCGTCACCTCTTTGCATGTATATGTGTATTTGCGTGGCAGAGCCATACGGCGGCTTGTACCTCGGCGTCCTGGAGGAATACATGGACCGGGGTTATTACCATGTGAGGTTAGGGGATGGATGCTAACGGCGCCGTCACTTGAGTTTCACGGAGCCCCACATCTCATGAGATCGTTTTATTTTTAGATGAATTTAACTCTCATGTGCTGTTACTAGAAAATACATGTGAGATGCCAGAAAACAGCCTGATGATCAGTGTGATGCTGTTTAGCTGCTGCTCCATCAGCAGCAGGATAAACTGATGGTGAAACCAAAACAGAATAATGCTCAGAGTGATGGCGAGCCGAGACAAACGAGGAAAACACAACAGCGCTGCTTATTATTTCTTCTTCTGTAATCTCACAGAGATAAGTCACCAACAAGTCCTCTGCTAATATATATGTTTAATTGTCACGCGCGTCTCCTAAAATCCTGAACGGTGTTTCAAATTTTCAACTAAATCAACTCAAGACTTTAATCTAATCCCGGGATTGAATTAGTGCCAAGATGATTTCAACGATGAGGATGGACTGAAGGAATACAAAGAAGCCGAGGGGGAGAACGCACAAAGCCCGGAGCTTTAACTTTTGATAAGCCTCTAACACTTCCATCAAAACATCTGCTATCTTAAAACAAGTGACATTGTAATCCCAAAGGGACAAAGACTAAATCTCTCTGCCTCTCTCGTAGGAATGATGAGGACGGATAAAAAGAGAGATGGCTATTCAGGAGGGAAACTTGATTGAACTACATGCTGCTTTGGTCCAAACCTCCAGAACGACACGCTCCTGATAGATTACCTCCAATTCACATGCAGCAGGCCTTTGAAAGCACACACATAACATGCCAGCAACAGTCTCCGGTTGCAGTCCCCGCGGTTTTATTGTTCGGACTGTTTACAATGTCCACTAGGCCCGTGTGATCAGTCACATCGTCAATACGAGGCCCGAGCAAGAGGCTCTTTCTCCGGGTTTTCTCCCTGAAGCCAAAACAGAAGGACTTTGATGGCAGTAGGGTCTCCAATAAAGTTTAGTGCTCTCCATGCTAACAGCGGAGTAACTCAATCCCTCAGCACTGCTTATCACTTTGCTAAAAGTCTGTGACATACAGGCTGGAAGCTTGTTTACAGAACTAATTAAGTCAAAGCTGTTATATATTAAAATGGCCAGGCCATTTTTAAGAGGCAGCAGTAATGAAAACAGAGTGGCAAAAAATGCTTCACTAACTCGCCCCTGACTCTCTTTTATCTTCTCCCGTTGATGCTCCAACTCGAGAGGAGTGGCCGTCAGCATATGGGATGTTAGGAGGAACCAAGTTAAGGAGGGAGGACATCTTCTGCTTTACATAACTCGCTGTCAGATCAACAGTCTTGCTCACAATGAAACTTATTAAAGTTGTTGTGATGTCGGCTCGGTGCAGCCCGGGGAGGCTGCTGGCCGCTGAACAGATGGACTCAACATGTGATTCTTTTACTTAATTGTGGATGTGGCTCTTTTTTTTTTCCTTATCAGGGAAGATCTGTAGCACATTTTGTCAGGGGAGAAGCTGGCTAACTGGGCTCTGCAAGAAAGAACTTTACTTGTATCTCTGTTCAAGTGTTTGAAATGGATATTTAGAAGTACGTTCCCGTACACACTTGAACCCCCACCCGCTCTCAAAACTATGCATCAAGGGGAATTTTCAGGTATCATTTGCCTATAACTTTTTGATGAAAGCAAGGGCCTCTAAAAGTGAGATTCTTTAGGGCTGTGCCCTTATGCTCAATGAGCATAAGTAAAGGGCCCTCTATGATGTGAGTAATACTAGCCCCTCAGCAGTGTGTGAGGTACTTCATGTTAGAGTGTTTTCTACACAGACTGTCGCGCTCGGGGCTCGTCTTTAGTGGAGTGTAATATGGAATAATTTTTCCAATAAACTGTCCACTGCTGAAGTGAAGCGTCCAGGCTCAGGAGTGCCCTGGCAGCGTGGCCTTTCTCCAGCAGAGAGCACTTAGCAGCAGCAGTTTGGTTGTTGTGCTAACTGCTGTTAGAAAACAGAAGTTTGCTTTGCCTCAGTGCATCATGAGAGCAAACTACGCTGTGTAGTGGCGCAGTTCAACATCCAACCGGCTTTTTAGCAAAAGAAAAAAAAAAATGGTGAAGATATCGCTGGAAGTGCAGGACAGGGTTTGTTGTAGGAACAATTCGTTGTGAGAGTTTGAAGGGAAAGGCGAGGATTGGGAGATTTGTCTGTGAGAACAAGCACAGGAGGAGGAGGAGGATGGAGACGGATGTGCCTGACACCGAACACACCCAGCAGGATAACACGAGCTTCATAAAGGCAGCCAGGCTCACAACCTTGACCACTGCCAGTGACCAGCCCTGGATTACCGTGAGCAGTCTGACCATATCCAGCTCCAGGCTGAATGGGTGGTCCTCCACTGCCCCTCAGCTCATACACAAACATACACAAACATACACCAGTGACGAGGACGATGGCCGGCACGAGGTGCACAGAATGGAAATAAAAAGCTGCAGCAACACATAAATGCATAGCAGAGCATCAGGATGTATATCAGGATGTATAGGACAGAAAAGCCCTGATCATGATGACAACGTGGGTCTGAGCAGCTCCTGTGAGCAGCGGCTGTGTTAAAGCCACATTGCCCTTCTGGGATCAGCCCGCTCCAGAGGCATTTACCAGCCTCTTTCATGTCGCCCACCTCCAGGCTTCTCTCCATCAACAGGACTCATTAGCTGTTGTTACTTTTCCCCCTTTTTTTGTTCATTAAGACGTGCTAATTATTTGCCTCCATATTTTAAAGCTCGATTACCAACAGCCAATTAACATTTGACGAGAGTGATGAATGGTAGCGTGACACAAAAAATTAAAGATAACGAGATGAGATGTATGAAAAGAGGGGAAAAAAATTATTAGAGAGGCTAACTGAAGTTAGTAATATTTCCTTTAATGTTTAATTTGATTGATCTGTGCCGTTACATCCAGACATTTGGCTCACGGTGACAACAGTGCCGCACTAATTATAGTGAAGAGGCAGAAAAGTTGTAGACAGAAGCGAGCGTTGGCTGCTGAGTGTTGCAGGGCCAACAGAAATGCATTCACTGACCTGGATCTGCTGCTGGAGGAGGTTGATTTTGTGCTGCTGCTGCAGAAGCTGCTGTTGTTGTCTTGCAATCTGGTCGGGAACAGAAGTAAAGACAGGAAATTAAATAATCCCCGGATGAACTGGCATAACAACAGGAAGTTTTTGATAGATAGCATTACATGGAAACTGCCCTGCAAGTATAGATAGATAGATAGATAGATAGATGGATAGATGGATAGATCTTTATTGACAAAATGCACCGAGGCCGGGGACAGCATGAGCTGCTTAATGGAAGTTAAAACAACGATTTTACAGACTAATAAATATCAGCGTTTTTCTTTTTGCAGAAATGTTTTCTTGCATTGAAATTACTCCAAAAATGTTCCAAAAAACCACTCGTTAAAATCTGCAAATGTACGTAAAACGAGGTGCCGTCCAAACATGCGGTGCGAGAGGATGAATGATTCAGAGGACAGGCGACGGCGGTTGCGACGGCGTCCGGGTGACAGAGGTCCTGGCTGCCCCCTGAGTGACGAGCAGCCGCAGCGTTTCTCATGGCGGCACTCCTTCCTGCTACACGCTCACTTCATTGAGCATGACAACCTAGTTTTAAGTGTCATTTAATTTTCATTTTTAAATATAATTACAAAGTGTTCACTGTAAGATATCGGCCGTCTGCAAATGTGTCAGGATTAATTTGTGCTGCCTCCCTCACGAGTGTCAACAGTTAATTACTGTGTTGTATCTTGATGGCTTGATGACATCCGAGCTCTCAGAGGGCTCTCGCGCTCCATCCCTCCCCCACCCTCCTCCCCCACCTCGCCTCTCTTCCATTTTATTAATATTCCTCCATTTTAAATAAGATCAAATAATGAAGCATCTTATATCACTGCTCATTCATGCTGCAATGTCTACAAAGCTGGCCGACTCGAGTGTAGTTTGCAAATGAACATCATTGATTGAAAAAGAAATCAATACTGTTAATGTATTATTAGTGTACTATGACCAAATGCATCACTCCAAGGTATATGGTCTATCTCTTCATTTACCAGCAAGGTCTGAGAGTGTGCTGAGAAAACTCTGAGTGAACTCCTTGCTGATAATTGACTCATAGCCATTAGGGTGGCTGCTGATAATAAAAGTGTCGCCTGTGTGGATAGTTTGTGTCCTTATTTCTTCCCAGACATTAACACACTTCATGGCCTGTGCTAATTTGCTGATTTGTACAATATGGCTCATTGGCCTGATTTGTGCTGCAAATCTAATGCCGGGCTTGTTCTAATAGGAGTCGATTTATAAGATATAGAGGACTTCCATGTTTAATATAACGTTTAATTCACACGTTCCCTCGCATTTGTTAGCACAAGTCATAATAACGTTTTTCCTACCACGCAGCATAAATGTGGGCGAGAGAGCATGACCGAAATATCCCAGGCAATATAGAATATAACATCTCTTAAATCTAATATTATTCCAAATTCCTAGCGAGGAGCGCGATTTTATTGGCACATTTCAGGCATGAAATGTGATATGAAATAGAGAGTTAAGTGACAATTTGTCACAAATGTATTTAATGAGGTTTATTATTGAGATGAAACAGGAACCAGCATAAACAAAATTAAAGGAGGAAATAGGATTAATGTGTAAAGTGATAAAGAAAGAAGGAGAAAAAAGAAAAGATCAAAACAAACGTGTGGGAAAATATGGTCGAAAAATAATGCTGTTAGCTGCAGCACACAGAGAGAAAAAAAGAAAGCGGTGAGTAGTTACCTGCTCCTGCTGCTGACGAGCTAACTCCATTTGCTGCCTCTGTTTTTCCATCTGCGAGGCAGCGAGCTTCTTCTGTTCGTCGTGGGCAGCCAGGAGCTGCTCTCGCAGGCTGATCAGCTGGGTGATCATTGTGGAGAGCTGGTGTTCCTTTTCTGCCAGGCTCTCTGGAGTACCTGGTGAAGGGAGAGAGAGAGAGAGAGAGAGAGACACAGCAATGTCAGGAGTGGAAAGGATAAATGCAAGGTGGAGAGCCTGAGTCATAAACATAAATACAAGTATGCGTTATACATACCTGAAAGAAAAAAAAAGTCCTCAAAAGGTTTCATAGTGGCCGTGACTAAACAACCAGGGTGTAAGCTTCTGGGAGGAAGTCTGCACAAGGCCTTGATCATTGTATACGGCTAAATATAGAAAAGTGACCACACACTGCATCCAGCGATCATCACATTGTGCCATTGTACCGTACACAATATTTAGCAGAAAGAAAACTACGCAGGCAGCGAACCAACTGCAGTGAATTCACTCGAAAGTGTTAAGGTCAGACGCAGCCTGGAGTTGTCTGTTCTGCTGTAGCCGGTTTTCACAGCTTTTCAGAGGAAGAAAGGGAAGGAATTGTTCCCGGCACATAGACAAAGAGCTGCAGGGAGCTGTCAAACTGAGGTGGCAGCTTATGTCAGACTTCCAGGGGTGATTGTAAAGAAAGTGTTAAGACTCACTGTTTGCGCTGGCCCACAAATTGTATATACTGGGCAGTTCCACCTACATGTTAGAGGAGGGATTCCTCATGAAGTTGTTCCAACAACAAAAAACAAAAAACATTTGCACACTAAGCTAACGTTCTCAATCCATAATTAAAGCAAAATGTGCATCCTACTGATCACTCTCTGGCTCTGGTGAATGCATGCTTCAGTAAGAACAGCAGCGACAGACCAACAGGCGTTCTTCTTCTTCTTCTTCTTCTCTGCCTACAGTCACATGTCCACACTGTGTGACAGAGAGAGCGGCTCGCTGCACTGCTCTCTCCCTCCGCCTAATCAATGCTAAGTGATCCTACCATTGACTTACACAGCCAACATAATTGCCAGTGAGAGGCTAGACAGTAACTCACTCTCCTCCCACTGCACTCCTGTGTGACAAGCTGATCTGGGGGGGACACGCACAGAAAAACAGATAGGAAAGCTGACAGAGAGACACAGCCGGGCAGAGAGAGAGAGAGGGAGAAGGATAAAAGCATGGAGATCTAGATAACAGTACAGTGAAGTCTGGCCCGGGGCCAGCAGGAGCTGAATTCTTTCCTGGGTGTCTTCCTCTCGGCTCTGACCACATCTGTCTTGAGTTTCTCCGAGAGCTCCCAGGGGCCCTCTCCACTCAAACTATTTTAATTTGACTAAACACCTGATTTATTTTATCTCTCCGATGAGGAAAGCCGTTTGTCTTAATAGGGCCTGTCAACCTCCAGAACCCATTCAGGGCAATTTACTGGCAGGCTTGTCTGAACCTCAGTTCGCCTCGCTCTGCCTCCGCTGCCTGCTGCAATGGAAGAGAGCTGCAATTCTCCATTTATCCTCCTAACGAAAAAAAGCACCTAAAAGCAGCTATTCATTGGGCCTGTGTGCAGTTTCCAAGGCCTGAATTGACTTCTTATTCACCCGACTACACTTGTTGTGAATGGCTTATCTGTAAAATTGATACAATCAGCACCAATTTTATTAACCTTTGGCTGTGTCCATGAAGGAGCTGCCTTTTACAGGTCACCAGCAAGATACATCAGGCGTTGTCACAATAAATCACTGCTATCAATACTGTAGTGGGAAGGAGGGAAAGAGGCTAAAGAGAGAGAGAGAGAGAGGAGAAAGGTAGGAAGAAAGAAGAGGAAAACAAGAAAATCATTATCCAGGAGAAGCTTCACGGGGCCATCGGGTCATAAATGACTTTGAGCAGAACATCTGGACTCAATGACGCCCTCTCAGTCTGTCTAATTACACCGTTTTAATGTCACTCACTGGTTTAGGAGCATCGAGTCTGTGAAAACAAACTATTTATTTATTTATTTACATACTACTGTGTGTGCACATGCAGGGGGACTGGTGCCGGGGGTCCACAGAGGGCTCTGATGGACCGGTCCGAGTGTGGAGACACCACAAGAATACTAACAGAGGGCCCATTGTTTTGATGCTGAGCTAAACTGTGCAAACCGTCCTCTGTGCTGCTATGTAGGCCTTCCCTTTCTGCTCAATTTAAATAGAATTATCCATTAATTTCCTTTTTTTTTTTTGTCTAAACCAGCGCTGAAAAATCAACAACAATTTTTCCAGATTAATGACGAGTGAACAATTCAAACTAAAACTTTTTGGAACATCTCGATATGAAAACACGAGTCTCCCGTCGGAGGCTGCCCACAGCTGAGCAGAACATCACACACACGTGTTTTTTGTTGGCCGGTTAGTGTTAAAATCTCTTTCTTCCTGCTTTAAATTATGGATCAGCTTTAAAATGCAGATAAAACTTTTATTGGGTGGTACAGAAGAGGAGAGTCGTGGTCTGCGTCCGACCAGCCCGCTGACAAAAGAGGCCGTTTCCTGCATATTGCATGGCTCTTAACAGCGGTGGGGCTGGGGTCTGCCTGTTAACATGTCTCCTCGCATTGCGCTTCCCATGGCAGACAGACGACCCGGAGATGCCTTGGCGCTGCATAAACCCCAGCAGCCGGCCCAGACCTAACGTGTTGTGACATCCTCCCGGTGGACGACGGCCGAGGCTCGGTGGGACAATGACACGGGAAGGAGGTCCCAGGAGTGACCGGTCAAGCTTTTATTTATTTGTTCTTCTCAGGTCAAAAATTCTAGATTGACACGTCGTAGGAGGAGACGAGTAAAGCAAAGGTGCTCAGTTCCAGCCCATTCAGCGTTCCACCTTTTGAGATCCCTGCCTCCTTTAAACGTCAGAAAGTAGGGCAGAAAACATCAACGGGTGACTAAATAAATGATAAGAGAAAAACAAGCAGAGCCATGGTTGCTTGGGGAGGGACGGGGGTATTTGAGCCTTGGGGTCTTTGGATAAAAGGCACTTTGTAGGGGTGCGATTTGTTTTGTCCAATACCCACATCTCCCTCTCTCTTGGCTCCCTCCTCTCTGCTCTAATCAAGCAGTCTCTAATTTGGGTTCCAAGTCCAGTACCGGGGAAAAAGAAGGAGGCTTGTTACTTTGAAGAGTCCCGAGTGAATAACACAGATAAAAGATTCAGGCACAAAAAAAAAAAAAAAAAAAGAGAAGAAGAAGAAGAAGAAAAGCGAGGGAGGGCGAGGGTGAAAAGGGGGAAAATCACAAGGCACCCTATTCTCTTCCCTTCCTTTGGTTAAGACAGCTGAGCCATTATGACCAGATCTGAATTGAGTTTTTTAGCACCAGAAGACTGGAATTTCTTTGTCTCTCTATCAGTCAGCTATTGTAGATGCTTCCATATGCTGCGAGCCCATCCTAAGTAAATTAGGACTTGTCTAAATGCTACGATTGTGCCGAGCTGTATGCACACACAGGCTGCACATAGCTTGAATGCTTTGCGTGCTGAGACTCTCTCTCTCTCTTTACTTTCTCCCAAAGTGTGTGTGAATGCAGCCGTGAGTGTGTGTGTGTGTTGTGTGTTGTGTGCTTGCTGCGATCGATAAAAGGTACATGTCTCTGAGTAAATGCACGTGTGTGTGTGTGTGAACTCGGCGGTCACCTGACCCTTTGTCCATTCTTTCTGTGCAAAACACAAAGAGCCAATTGAGTAGCAGCAAACAGCATCCATCGGTACCGTCTTTAGTGTTCAAAATAGAAGGATTTTTCTGCTCACAGACCTTTCTCCAAAACCATAAAAACAGCTTCAACAAAAGCATGAAACGCTAGCCAATCTTTGTATCAAATTCTCTTTTGTGATATTAAATACGACTGAACACATTTTATCCTCTGGTCCAAAAAAAGAAAAAAAAAAACACACATATTGAGGATCTGGCAGAAAAGCGGGACTAAGAGGAGCTGGTTTTATGGTATCCCTTTGCTTTTAACTACTATATACACTTGTTCAGCAACGCTACAAGGCCATATGTGTTTCCAGTAATATGGTGTTAATGTGTCTCCGTGTCCTACAACCAAGACAATATGAGCAACAGCTGTGTTACCTGGCGTGCTGCCTCTGCCATGATATAAAAGCTGTTAATCTTGCCAATAAAACCCCATTAACAAGCATGAGCAGTGACTCACGAGCACGTCATGCGCTGGCAGCAATTACTCTGAGTCCCTTAAGCTCACCTATATGATCAACGTATAGTCTTGTTCACAGTTAAAAAAAAAAACTGCCCGTCATCCTGTTGAAGAAGTTCCTACAGAACCAGAGTCATTTCAACCCGTGTTTATTTTTAAACTAAATTTTGGGGTTGGCATACGGAGGGGTGATTAATAAAAGCCCACTCCATCCGCCGTGGTCTCGCTGTTCGTGGCGAACGCTGATGGAGACTAATATTTTGATGATGGCGGGAGCTTCACTCTTCAGTATAATTATGCTAATGTAAAAGCTCCAGCACTTAACTGTCTATCCATGACACTGGACAAGGTACTTCATCAAAGCCAAGATAGAGGCTCGACCTGAGCGCATAGCTCCACGGGGAATGCCGGTGACCCTTAAATTCACACTGAAGGGAGAAAAAAAAGAAACTCAACACAGAAACTTTACTTCTGTTCTCTCGGTAATTGAATGCGTCATTCTCTATAATACAGAGCAACCAACCAAAGATCCCGGCACCTTGGAAAATGTTGTAGCAAAGACGATTACATGAAAACACAGCGTGTTTCCAATCCCTCTATTCATCTCCCATGGCCTTCGTGATGATAAGGCTGACCCCTGCGCCCTCAAAATATAAAAAGAATGCTCGGTTTTCAAGGTCTCCTGCTTACAAAATGCTTAAGGGCTGCGAAACAGTGATCAAGGCAATGACTTACCATCAGTGAATCTTTGAAAGTGCGTGCGGAGTTAGATGTTATCTCATTCTTTTCAGCCAACATTTATTCACTGGTCTTACCTGCACAACTGTAATTACGGGAGAATGTACTCATTTCCTTGAACCGTGCTTGAGAGATCTTTCGAGAGAACTTCAGACTGTTGTCTTTGACGGCTAAGTGTTCGAACAATGCCCGTG